TTTTAAAAATCTAATACTTAGAATTTGGATTTAGACTATTTCAGTTAGCCCTTTTTCTTGCTTTTCATTTTTAAATGTTTTTTGTGTTCTGCAGGACTTCAGCTGCTGGTTGCACAGTTTTGGGCTCTATTCAGAAACTAAAAAACAATACCAAACAATCACCCTGAAAGTGATCTATTGTTCTGTGATTTTGTATTCTTAAGCACCTCAGTTCCCTTTAAAGCCAGCTGCACAAGGAATCACAGCAATATCCTCAAGTCAAGCAGTCTCTCTGCAAGTCTCCTCAAGAGCTCCTTCTTTTTTTTATTTCGTCTTTTCAAGGTGTTCAAAGGAAGAAAGCATCAGAGATGTCTGGATTGAATTTCTTGAACATTTTTCTTTTGTATTTTCTCACTATTTTCATACAGCGAGGAAAAACAGATGTTTTCTCCTTGATTGGCATAAGAATTCCAATTACTTAGAAAGTATACTGACATTACCAAATCGTTCAATGGTTCATTATTATTATTATGAAAAGTACAGCATCAGTGCCAGTCAAGGCATTTGGATGAAACAATTTGCAACCTGGTATTTCTCTCATGTTAGGACACAAGATGCATCTCATTATGCTGGACTCAGTACTGATTCACTGTGTATTTTAACTCTTTGACAAAGAATCAGAGACTTCATCCTTACTGTACTATTTATGCAATCCAGCTTCTCTACTTTCCCTCCCAGGCCTAAGAAGAACGCAAAGCAGACAGTAAGGCACTAAAACCAAGATCTCAAAAGTAGTTGAAACACTTGGACACATAAGGCTTACTTCCATTGAAGTAAATTGTAAAAATCCTTGAAGGATCTTTTTCTTGGAAAGAAAATCGAAGTTTGTACTTTTTCACATGTGCAATTCCCTTGGTAGAGAGCTTCCTATGTAAAAGAAGAATTCAATCTTAAATTGTTAAGAGGAATTATCATTACTACAGGATAAGAATCACTAAAGAAAAATGTCAGTTTTAGAAGATAGCCACTAGATGGAGCAATTTAATATTAAGATTCCATTTATAAAGATTCTTTCACCTATCCCATTACCAATTTTTTTTTCCTTTTTATGCTAAGGATATTTAGAAAGACTGTGTCCTTGTATATTATGTAAGTAAAAGGAAAATTCCATATGAACAAGCACTAATGTTTCTGTATTTTGCCTGTAATGAAGCAAAGACTGGAAACAGTATAAGGTAAACTGCAATTCTAAACCACTTTGGTTAAACTGTTAATTTAATTAATCCACGAATCTACACTCCCTAATCTTCAGAAACATTAAGCATTAAGAAATATTAAGCAGTTTATCAGAATACTATGCTCTCTATTCACCAGACACAAGAACTTTTTGCCTGTAGAGATTATTCTATCCTACGCTGAACCTTAGCCTACTATATAGTTAGAATTCTCTATATTTTAGTATCAAACTGAGAATTAAGAATATTTTGTACTGACACAAAAGGAAAAGAGACTTGACCTCATTAGTTTGAGTCCCAATTTACATCAGTTGTATCTAAGATGGCTGTAGAAGTACAGTGCCTTCTGTCAGTGTAAGACCAAAAGTTGAACCTATGTCTACTTATATTTCTAATGTTAATTTCAAGCAACAATTTATAGTTGTTACTATCCAAACTACCGCCTGATAACATCCATCTGTACCTTGTGAAGGTGATACAAAACAATGGTGCTGTTGCTGAATACAGCTCTTAAGGCACCAAGAAAGTAAATCCTCAATGATTACATGGGTCTTACAATCCTTCTTAAATACTGGATTTGCTGGGAAAAGGGGAAGCAATAAACAGAGTTAAGGACAGCCTGTGAACAGCAATCCCCAAATGGCCTCTGCTTCACCTTTTTCTTTTAAAATACTTCTGTTGTACCATACTTATGAAATATTCATATTTCTGATTGTAAGTATGATAATGTAAGCATCATGAAAACAAGTTATACTGTCTACTATATCTAAAGTCCGCAAACATCCTAATACAGTATACATTTTATTATCCTTCCTACTATTGCACTTTTCTAATGTTAAATCAACTTCTACCTGCATAGCAGGTATAAATAGCAACTGGATTTCCTGTTGTGTTTAGGTCCATGGTGAAAATCCATGCTTTTAATGTCTAGATGCGGTGCTTTCTTCTAACAACTGTTACTATTATCTGTCATGATTAATGATAAACAAAACCCAAACATTAGGCTGTTTATACAACTATTAAGTACTTGTACATTTCTCTCTTACAGAACTCAGCCATGGTTCTAAAGATTTTGAAGATGTATCATTGATATATCCCCACCATGTCCATCACTATCATGACCACATTTAGCACAGGTTCAATTAATCTAAACTCTCTTATCTCAATCAAATTAGTCATTACGGGCATTGCAGTTCAATGGCTTATTAGATGGACCTCAGAATGAAGAGAAAGCATATAGGACAGGAGGAGGGTAAACCTTATCATTTTGAGATTATTACACTTCATTTTTATGCCTTGCTCCATCACTGCACTACTTCTGGGGGGAAGAGGGGTGTACGCAAGCAAAAGAAGAAAGCAAAGAACAAGCCAAGAATGAGAGCATGCTGCATTAGCTGGAGACATTTCTGGCACTTGTGTAAAAGCTGCCTTCATTAACATAGTAACACTGCAGCAAGCAAAGACAAATTAATGTAAAGAACATCCACATTATCACACTTCAAATATCAAACCAGTATACTTCAGACCTTTCCTCCATTAACTCCACCTCAGCAATTGCCTCTGGCTGACTGCTCCTTGACAAGGTAGCTACAGAAAACAGATCAAGGCTCCAAAGCATTTTTCCTCGCATTTTTCAGTGGCTTCTAGCCTCATTTTTCTTATAAAGAACAAACAAGCTCACTAACTGCAAACTACCTGCTAGACAAATCAACTTGAAAGTGTTTTAGGTTTCATTACATGATGATAAAAAGCAATTCAAAGCCAAGGCCAGACTGACAGTGTGGGATTTCAGTGAATCCATTTCAAGAAACTTAACCCAAACTGATTCAGCTTAGTCCTTGAGACCTCCAGTGTTTGCCCTAGAACATAAAACCCATGACATTAAGTCATTACAAGAAAGCACCTTACTTTTTTTTTATTTAAAACAATCACTGGTATCTATGTATCTAAGCAAATTAAGAGAAGCACAAGAAGTTAATTAATCTCTCAGATGCCAAATGCAGTCAGAAGTCAGTCCACAAGTAATTTTGCAACTAGGCTTCATTATAGAAATCTCACCTAAGCCTTTTTATGTTGTGGTCTTTTTCAAAAAACATGAAAACACCAGCAGATTCATTCACACAAGACAAAATGCCTTTGAAGAACCTGAGATGTGTGGAAGTTACAGCTAGTTAAAAAGGTATATCCCAAATGTGATGGGTGTGATTAACTTCCCTGCTTGCTCATGTTATGACCACCCCTCTTCAAGAATGAGGGAGAAAGAAAAGAAGGAAAAAAAAAAAGGAAAAAGAAGGGAAGAAGGGAGAGAGATATTAGTCTTACTTCCCCTTATGCCTAACACTTAATTAAGGGGAATACACTGTAATAAGCCATCTCAGAACCACAGGGTTCATAAGCAGCAGAACATAAATAAAAGCAACATAAAGTTGCGCTAAATTACATGACAGCAAGTTTGCCACAGCCTAAAAATAAAAAAATTGAAGGTGAGTTATGACAACAAAGAGTGAGGGGGAAATACTAACATATTTGGTATCAGAACTTTTTTGAATGTTTTTCTCTTTATATTGTTTGAAGCAATTGTCATTTTCTCAGAAAGTTTTTAAGCTTTCTTCCTCCTGGGGATGTCAGTCTCAGCAGAGCAAGAAGAATGCAATTAGAGCTAGCTACAAACCTGCCAGGTAACTCTTGTTCTAAGTGTTCATTAGATGAAGATGGATCTGCCCTTTTAATTCAGACATTGCCTACTAAGTACAAGTTAATAACTACTTAGGACTTCAATCCCTGACAGAGCTACATATGCAGGCTACTGTCTCTGAGAAGAGATAAAGGCATGGAGAGAAAAAAACAGCCATCAAGTTAATCATGACCAGAAATCATTACCATCTAAGACTGAGTGTCTGATGAAGTCTGTTTCAGGACTATTCGACATAGTTATTTGTGTGTCCACAAACAGAGCCAAGAAAACACTGATGTATAGATGCTTTGTATGATGTATCACCAGACACATCATACAAAGGACTTACTTCCTGGTTTTGTCAGTCTTAGCTGCAGATTTCAAAACAAAAAGTTAAAATTGGTTGAGGACGACCAAAGAAGTTCACAAGTTACACATACCAACTTCCACAACACAAGGTGAGACAAATCTGTCCATAGCATGATGCAGAGGAGAATGGACACAATCTTCTGACTTCCGTGCACCCTGCTGTGAGCTGCTAGCAAATCCACAGTCCAATATTTCTGGAAGCAACAGACTGCCCATAGGCAGCTCAAACCCCACATTACAAGCATGCAAGAGACATCCCTGCCACAGCCTCTCAAGCACAGATCTCTTTTGCAAAGATTTCTCTGGGTAAGCCATGTCTGACTCATCCTTTGCAATACATTTCCCTTTCCTTCAAATCCAGACTGGCATTTCAGCTGAAGTTGTAGAACTGTTTGTTTTATATTTGAAAAGCCTTTTGGAGGAACTTGATTTTCCTAGAATCATAGGAAGTTGCACACCTTACTGCTGCACAAGCAAGTCCTTCAATTATCTCCTGAGCCTGAATTTTCTGATGTTTATTCATAGCAACTTTAGGTCACAGCCAACCACCTACATTCCTTCAGGAAATCAGTCTTCTTTATAACAGGATGACATATTTGTCATCTTGCCTTGTTTTTGTAACAAACTAAGGTATTTTCCCCTAGTCACCATTTGAAGTAATGTGCTTGCAATTTACAGAAATAAAGCAATGAGTCCAGGAATGATCCAGAGGTATAGCTACCTTGCTTGGACTGATCTCTTACCTACATTGCTGGAAAACAAGGTCTTGATGTTACTAGTGCTGCATCAGGCCCTATTCACTTCAGTGGATTCAATGAAAGCACAACAGTCCATCTGGGCAGTTCATCTGCAGAAACAACATCAAGTATAATAAGCTGGATCCTACAATCAAGATTAATTAGAATCACTGGGACTTAGCATAGGTGTAAAGATCGATAGTGTTGATCCACTTGTGGGCTCATATCCTTAATGTAAAGACATAATACATTTTGTTATTACTTAAAATAATCCAAGTTGATCTCCTCTAGGGAAATGAGGTCTGATCTTAACAGCTGGCTCTGCACAGGTAGGGCTTTCCTCTCCTCAAGGTATCACTGACATTAACTGGCATAAGGCAGACTTTTCCTCAGAAGAGAAGGATGGAAAAGAAAAACAGGAGGCCATAATGAACAGGAATGAACCTCCTTCCCCTGGAGCAGTCTTTTGTCACTGACTGCAAGTCTTCCCAGAGTCCAGAATTAATAAAACAGATAGTACGATAAAGTTTGTTGCACTCCATGCCTCATAACATCTGCCTACACTTAGACCTGGGTAATAGTATATATAGAAAACAAATTTTAAGTAGAAAGTGTGCAGCAATTGCTAGGAGGGTTATGATTACATCACAGTAATCCACATAGAAGTTTTAAAATTAGTTGTGTAATTAAAAGAGTTATAAAGAAATAGCTTAAGTATACATGAAATTTGCAAGCACCACAAGAGCTAAATAAACTTCCGTACTCATTTTAGTTTTCTGTTTATGACATGCCATAAACTCGTCCCCTTCACTGCCACTGGTACATCAGTAAGAGCCTCAGAGAGCTCTCATGCTCTCAGAAGCCTTTTCTTAAATGGAACTCCCTTTGAGTAATCTGAATGAAAGGCAGGTAACTAACTCCTTAGAAGTGCTATAAAAGAAGTGAGTTTTCAAAAAAAGGAAAAATTATCCACACTTTTGATTTTTTAAAATTTTTTATTTTCTCCTTTTTGGCATTTTCTTTAATAAACACCAGCAAGCTGTTGGTCTAAGAATGATTATTATATAAATTTATTTTTTGTCTGAAGTTTTAACCAGTCCTAGACATATTTATTCCTAAATCTACTGGAAGATGTAGTATTGGAAGCTTTATAAAGCGAAGATTTCTCCTATTCCCACAATTATTTCCAAAGCAAAACAGGAATATGGAAATTATTATTAATACAATATTTTTTCAACACCATTGGGCTGAAGTAAACAAAGAAAGAAGGCAAAGATGTATACATTCTCCATCTCATTTCTCTGCACCTCATAGTTCCAGAATTTTCTAAGGTTTTTAAAGGATCCAACTTAGAGGGTCAACTATGCAAGAGTAACATTGCTTTGTCTAGAAGTCAGGGACAATTAATGGTTACATTACTGAAAATCTGTTATGGTGGTAGTAGTGGTTTGGGGTTTTGGTTTTTTTTTAACTAATGTTGGGGCTACATTTTCTTTTATATAGTTAGTTGTCTTTATCCCTAAGTGAGAGAACTTAAATTCTATCCCAAAGTAGACTTGAAGTGTGAATTTTAGCATTCCTGATTTATGAGACAAGGATTTCCTTTAACAGATAACAATATTACTTTCAAAATCAAATACCCACCCCATAAACGAGGTCACTAATTCTTAGAGCTTGTTTTGTGCTTAAAAGGTGGTAAGTTGGCCTATTATTGCTCTGCCCCACTCATCTATTAGGAACATATGTAGAAGTCCAATTTCTTCTTTCCAAGAGGTTCATTTGTCCCATACCCAGACACATTTCGATATTGTTGTTCCTCTAGATAAACATCACTAATTTAAACAAGATTAACCAGCAGCCTAAATTAGAAATTACATTTTTTCCTGGTAGAGTTTTGCCAGTAGTTAAGTATAATAACACAATTAATACCTATCTGGTGCTTTTCACATGTGAATCCTCATTTCTATATGCATCACTAAGTGAAAGTAAGCTCTTTTTTAGGTGATATATTGGACTAGTTAAAACTATTCTAAAAAATACCTTTGGATTTTGCTTACAGTATCCTGAACACTTGCGTAGAGTTCTGTATTGTGCTTAAGGGTTCACAAGGTGTGTTTGGTACCAGGAACATTGAAAGTCTCAGCCATTCACTTTTCCAGGACTTTGTGACAAAAGACTTCAATAACACAACATGAAGAAACAATTAAAGGCCTTAGCAAGTAGTACTGACACCCTTTTCATTCAGTTTGCTTTTCTAGCTTGCTAATTGACTAAGGGATGAGCTAACAGAATAATGGCTGAAGAATTGCATCCAGATATTTTGAGGCACAAGCTAGCTCATAGAATTCCATAGGATAGGATAGGATTCCATAGAACATTAAATTCTCGGACTTACAGACTTAACTGGCTTCTATTTTGGGACTCATTCGGAATGTTCCCTCTTGCTCAGAAATTCACTGTCACAGTACTTAAACACAGAGCTACAGTTGTCCAGCACTGCCTTGTGCTTTCCAGACAGGAAGAATTATTAAGAATCAGAGCTTTAGCTAAGTTAATATTGTTTTACCAAACCAGTTTCCCTTTATATTCCTGTGCCACCACACTTCCATCAAAGAATCTAGGACTGTGTCCGTCCAAGCTGTGTAAATAACATTTGGAATACAAAAAATTATTACAGGCCTTGACTTGATAGGGGTGATAATATGCTCTAGTCTACACTCAATAGGCAGGCTAGATTGAGCATGAACCAAAGCCAGCTACCTGTTTTAGAGAGAATCTCAAAGCTTCACTAACTTTGTTGACACCCACTCATATATCTATGAATTTTCTCTGAGGCACAATCTGTGTTTCCCTCTGACTGTATCTTGTAAACTAGACATGCAAGCACATTGATTCTTCCCCTTTGCAATGGGACCAGGCAAGGAGATGAGCTGCAGTAATAGACCACATACATGCTAACAAGTATATGAAGTCACTAAATCACAGTAATCCAGTCATTCTGATTACTTCTTTATATCCTTCAACATCTGTTCTCAAAACCAGTTCAAATGAAGTTTAAACATTTGGAATCATTCTATCACAGTCAAAATGAGAAATTACTGTATAAAAGTCTTTTTTCCCCCATTCCCCCATCCTGTTTGTATGCAACATGCCCAAAACCGCACTGTGAGCCACAAGCCATTTCATGGCTGTTGACATGGGACCGCTAAAATAACACTAATTGATACCACTGACACTGAAGCTGTGCTAGCACAGATTCCATTGGATATGAGTCTTTCTAAAATAGTGATTTTTAGACAATCAGCAAGTAAAGTTTTCCTCTGAGCCTGTAATTGCCTGGCCAGATAGCACAGAAATTAAGCCACTGGCTTCACATGGACTAAGTCTAAACATAAATTTGTATATGTGAAATATTATGAACTGTATCAAACAGCTATTTATATGTAAGTCAGTTAAACTGTAATTTCAGTAAAAATACTCATTTATAGTGTAGAATTATCTTAGTATTTCTTTTATGGGAAACTAACTGTGTGCATATGTTCATAAACTTCTGCTGCATGATAGTACCATGATTGTTTGGTGCTCAACAGTGGGAGCATAGGCACACTAAAAATGCTTCAAATTTGCTAGGAATGGTAGTGATAATTTAATGTTGACTTCTGCCATTCCTATTTACTAAAAAAAACAAAACAACCCAATTCTCCAAAGTTTAACTTACATTCCTAGAGCAAACAGACTACTGTTGGTATGTAGGCAGACAGAGATGCAGTAGCATATACAGAACAAATGCTGACGATGCTCACATGAAGCTGAATCTGTCAAAAATGCCCCAGCTTATGAATTTGGCATGAACTGCATAGAGTAAAAAATAAAACAAAACAAAAAATCCCAACAAACACCTATAATTCCTTCCACAGAGCATCTTGCACTAGTCCAATTAGCCGAACGTAACATCCAATAATAGGGTGGAATGAGAATGCACGTGGGTATAGAGTCGACAACAGAAAGCACACGTTTATGGATAGGTGAAGAAACACACCAAGCCTCGACACAGGCAGGAAGCTGAAAAGAAACGGTCTTGTCACATGGAGCCACGAGGAAAGAGAAACCATTTCCTCCCAGACACTCAAATGGATATTGAAGCTCTGAGATGCTTATTACTCGGCAGATTAAGTGAACAGTGCCAACCCCAAAAAAACTCACCAAGTATCCCAAGTACAAAAGTTTAGCCCTTTAAACTGTTAAAAACGGCATTTACAGCCCCCACTCACCACAACCTCCTGGGCCACTGCTCCAGGTCCCCAGGGCGGCATGAGACAAGGCTGCTTGAGACAAGCGTGAACTCTCCTTCCTGAGCTACCTGCCTTCGCTACCCAACAAACTGAGGGCTTAACCTGTCTCCTGGGCCCGGGAGAGCCGAGCCCCTGCAGTCCCCAACACCAGGAATGTGCCACACGCCCCCCAAGCCCCGCCAGCACAGAAGGAAACGACAGGATTCGCAGCGCTGGAGCCTAACGGGTGGGGAAGCGCCACCAGCGGAGTGTGTAGGTAGGGAGGGAGGATGGCGGCGAGGCGGCCGCGGGGCTGTGGGGATGAGGGGGCTCGCG